AAAGAAAAGTGCTAAGAAGGTTGATTATTTGTCTCTAATGCTGCAGCCATTGGTCATCTTGCACATGCTTGCATTCTGTAGTGTCCCATGAGACACATAATATTTGCTGCTGATAGATAAAGTGTTTGGATGAAATTCTTCCAGCTGCTGTTTGAACTATTCTGAATTTCAAGTAGAATATGTGTGATATATATAGATGAAATTAGCAGTGTTAAAGATTTAGACGAGGTAAAGCATGTGCCTGAAGTGACTGTTACCCCATTTCCTTGATTGAGTTTTTTTATCCTTTATATGATTTCTCTGTCTGGGGTGTGGTTTCTAATTTATACTGGGAACTGGTAGAACTTTTAAACATTCTTCTGTTCAAAATTATCCAAGGTCATCATATTATAGCATTAAAAAAAAGTGACAATGACAGTGAACATTATCAGGAATGTAGCTTAATCCTTCATCTCCAATAGAAGTAAAGATCATACTGCCTTTAAGTCATTTCATGTTCCTTATTTGAAATGTACATTTGAATTAACTCAAAAAGAAAAGAAATCTAGAGTTAAAACTTTGGAATAGTATGGTCATGAAAGATTCAAAATGGAGGAAAAGCATTGGAGATGTTCTTTTGTAGATTTATTTGGAACTTATAATTTACTGAAACTTTCCTGGTAAGTATAAACGGTATATCTATTTTGCCAGAAGCATTGTCTTAGAGATAGTGCATTAAATTTTGTTAATTGATTTTGCTTTTAATTTTAATGATGAAAAGAATAAAGTACCTCTTTTGTTAATTGATTTTACATTTAATTTTAATGATGAAGGAATAACAGCTTTTGAAGAATTCTCTTGTTTATGATATATTCTGGCATCATTTATTTATCAGCAAATTGGTTGTTTGAAAAGTATGCAAAAACAAATTGAATGATGAACTTTAGCATGAGTAAATTGTGAAGGTTTTAGTGCTGATGGTTTGCTTTTTATATTTAACACTTTATGTTTTTTTATGAAAGTTTTGCAAGACTTTCATGGTACCAGCTGTAACTGCTTTTGAATTGTTATGAGTTTTTTTACTAATAAAAAACAGCTTTCCCATAAAGTAAAAATAGATCCAAAAATTGTATTTTTTTTTAATCAAATTTTTGAAAGTGAAAGGTTTAGGGTCAATCATTGAAAGAAATTATAAAAGTTGTTTTTGACCAAGTTAATATTTCCCAAATGTGTCCGTAAGGAAAATGATACATAGAAAAAGACAGGTTTTCAAAAATTTTTTAAACTTTAAATCATTTTTAAATAGAATATTTTGTTTTTAATAACTATACTTTCTTGTATAACTGTTCATTATTTATAAAACAGTGGCCTGATGTTGATTTCTACCTGTATGGAATATTATCGGTTTGGGGTTTGTGATTTAGTGTGTAAGTTTGATGAAGATTTTGCTTTTGTTAGTTTAGATACAAAATGCTTTGTGGTTTTGGCAGCTTAAAATATAATAGATTGAAGCTTTGCTTGGTTTGAATGGTGAATGCTTGTTTTTACTGATAAATGATGTAAATGGTTATGGCAATTTAAACTGTATTGTAGTTTGGTTGGTTTTAATTCTGAAGTGTTATTTAGATTGTCATGTTATTAACAGTTGAAATATATCATGGTTGGTTTTTAAAAAGGGACCATGGTATTTCTTGTGTGGCTTTCATGCTTGATTGTATACAGGTTGTTTGTAATTATAATATATTTCTAACCTTCCATCTAACATAATGCTTTGTTTATGTTTTAGTCTAACTTTGTGGCAGGATTTTAATATCTTCGATTTACTTTTATCATGATTGTTTTGACTAATATCAATAATACAAGCTTGATTCTTTCAGATATATTATGAACATTATTTTCTTCCCTTAATTAACCCGCAGTAGTATAATTTTACAAATTTAAAATTTTACAGAAGACCTGGATAGTTTCTATAACTTTTCAAGGTATAAATTTTTACTCAATTACAATTTTTTTTTAAGCATAAACTTTAACCAGATCATTATGGTTACTGTGTATTTCAATACACATGATGTAATACAACATTTATGGATCATACTTAACACATACTGTAGTGATATTGGGCCCCGGGGGGCCAGGTGGTTAAGGGCACCAACTTTGGATCCTATCAGGGCTTTGGTTATTTCATGAGATTGGGTTCTACTCAAGTGCCTGTGTTTGTACTGAAATAATGCACAAAGGGGCAAACTGAGGTTTCCCTTCCCAGTAAAAACAAATAAATCCCTATGTGATCCTTTAAAATGTGGGTTTGGTTTTTCAAAAAACAAACAACAAAATAATTCTGGTCATATCAAACTTTTACTAGTGTCACAATATCTAATCATTATTATTTTCCCACTAGCTTTACAATTTTAAAATAGTTTAAAAAAATTTTAAACTTTTTTAAACAAAGACTATAGTTACTAAAATTTTCCAAATATAGCATTGTTATATTGCCATAAATTTAACAAAGATTATATTTTTATCTTTATTAAATTTAAAATAAACATTTGCCAATTTTAATTTTTTTTCCCTTAAATTTTTATTTTTTTGTTTATTTTTCCCTATTTTTTTAAATTTTGGTTAAACTTTTTAAAATTTTTTTTTAAAAAATTTTTTAAAAAAATTTATTTTTTTTTATTCATATATTTTTGTCTTGCGGGGGGTTTTTCTGGGGTGCCCTAAATTTGGGGTCCATTACGTTATTTAAAAAGGGGGCTGTTTTTTAAAAAAGAAGTGACAGTGCACAAGGAACGTACAACTCTGCAGTTCTTATTTTTTGAGTTATTTTGCCCTTTGTTAACTTCATACTTTAAGTTTTGTCCAGGGCCATTTCTCTTCAACTAAAAAAGCTAATGGACTTGAACTTCAATACGAAGATAGATCTCATTAAGAAGAAGTGCAGGTGTCATAGAACACAGTATCTGCACTTCTGGCAGGTGCTATTTGTAGTTAATAGTAGATGCTTACTTATGTTAATCTTTTCATACTCTTTGAATTTTTATTTATTTTTGTCCGGGCCATGGCTTTGTCTTTTTTCTTTAATGTATAAAAGCCATGGAACTTTATAGAAAACTTAATAGCATGATAGAATTCGCACTCGGTAAAGAAAAAGTTGCAGTGCACGCAAGAACAGGTAACTAACAATGCATATTCTATATTTTTGTAGAAGTGATTGTATATGCCTCTATACTGTAATATATGTGTCAGTAGCTGTTGGAAATATTCGTGCTGGGCTGCACATAATAAAATTTGCTCCATTAACGTATAAAAAGCAGAGTACTGGTTTATTATAGAAGTGCAATGAGAGTTTCGAAAGCTGTTCTTTTGTATGGAGTGATAGATGCCTTCTCATTAGGAAAGAGCGCAGTTGTACTCTACAGATAATAGAGTAGATGATCTATCCTGATCGTACATTCTTAATGTTTTAAAATTAAAAATTTTTATCCCACTTAAATATGTAATTTTTTTTTTTTTTTTTTTTTTTTTTATTTTTATTTATTTTTTTTTTTTTTTTTTTTTTTATTGTTATATTTTGTACGCATATACGTGCCTAAGCTTGTTAATTTTTGCTGAGTACTGTAACCCTTTAGTCCGAGGCCATTCTGATCAAGAATTAAAGTTTTACACTAGGAAGTGAATGTGTGACTTGGAAACTCATATAGAGATATAGACTACTGCAGTATGTTAGTCCTGAAAGTGCAGTGCATAAGAACTGATACTCTGCATTTCTTATTTTTGAGTTATTTGCCCTTTGTTGATTTTTCTTACTTTTATTTTTGTCCTGGTCATTTCTCCTCAAGTATGAAAGCTATGGACTTGAAACATCATAGAATGATAGATCTTATTGATAAGAAGTGCAGTGCACAGAAACTGCTGCTCTGCACTTATTATAGTTTTAGTTATTGCCCTTTGTTATTTTTCATATTTCATTTTTGTCCTGGCCATTTCTCCTAAACTACATTGTTCACAAGGCGACACAGCCGACTCACGGAGTTCTAGTTAACTAAAAGACCATAGTTTGCCACAAAGTCAAATTGTGTTATATATGAATTAAAGCAATATCATGCATATAAGAATGCTGGTGATCTGAAACTAACCCTTAGTCATCATTATGTATCTGGCTTTTGGTTATATATAACCACTGAAGATGGCAATTTTCATGTTGCTTTCTTAAAATGCGCAGATTCAGAAGAAGAGTTACCATTAATGTTTGACAGGAATTGTTGCTTTGCTGGAAATTGAAAACAAATGCATGATGACTTATTTATTTTGCTAGAATTTGGTGAATTTAAAATGAATTATGTTTTACAGGAAATGGTGTCATATTTTTATAGAAAATGATTAATCGTAAACCTAAGTTAAATTAATTTACTTTCATTAGACTGGTTTTTGTTCTTGAATGTTTTTTTTTTCTTTTAAAAGCAGTTCATTGATTTACTGTTTTAGTTTTGAATTGATAATCATATTATTATTTAGTAGGTTTTAGGTAGTACATGTATATATTATTATTGTAGAGACATAATATACTATATGCTGTTATGATGTTAATTTAGAATTTAGAAAACTTGGCGCATGTCTGTTGCTTCGTACACACAGTTTCCATTGAGTAAATAGATAAATTGCTTTGATGAAATTTACCTAAACAATTTATAAATGTTTTTTTCTATTTTAAATTAATTGCACTTTAAATAGTTTCTGATTAAAGTCTTATCCCCATTTGTTTTCCAACATCAAAAGATTGATTAAATGTTTAGATTTCTCAGTGAAACGATCAGTTAATTCTTCCAATTAATTAATTGAATTGATGCAACAGGAGATGTGCCAAGTTTAAATTTAGTGATGTTATGTCTATAACCATATAAATAGAATGTTTTTTATTTCTTTTAACAATAGTAGAAACAGTTTATTTATCTAGAGCAATGGTTTGGTTTTGGTTTTAGTGTGCATTTATGGACATGGAATCTTTTGCATTTATTTGACAGTATCGCACAGTCCAAAGACGAGACGAAAGAAGTTAAATGCTCGCATGAAAAGCTTTTCACTGGATACCCCTGAGCCACCCAAACAACTTTTGGGTATTGATGAATCCACAAAGAAGAAAAGCAGTTCATTCACTAACACTTGCTTTGGAGGTAAAACCAACTAACCATGGTTTTTGACAATGGGTTATCAATATAGGGTCGTTAAATTGACTATCCACACAACTTTCCCTATCAAATTTATAGTTTGAAGATATTTTTTTTAACCAGTATTAATTATAAACTTTCCTAGTACCTTATTAGATTAACCCTGTTACTTGTATTTAAATTATAACCAAATGTATCCAATAGGCTTAAGTTTACAGTAGATTTAATATTGTATATAACTATCATTAGCACAATTAGTGGTTTCTTTATCATTGTAGAAAATATAAACAATATAACTTTAGCTGTTCATACTTCTTTAATTTATATTCATTTAGCAGTATCATTAATAGAGTTAAAGATCAGTGATTTCTGGGAAAGTATCATTTAAGCAGTTTAGTAAGAAATTTAGTTTTACAAGCACAGTTAATTCTAGAACTTAAGCAACATATCATTATCGTGCATCATTTATTTCATACCCATAGCAGCATAGCATTTTATCCCCCTCCTCATTACCCAACATGCACATTGTCTAGCTTAATTGCATCATGGTCAATGCATGGGTTTGTCATGGACTAAGGATTGTTTTTTGAGTAACCATCCTAAAACTAGTAAGTGCTGTGGCTAAAGTAACTGACTTTTTAGGTAAATGGTTTTCGCCATGATATTTCTATGTTAATTTAGCTACATTTTAACATCATCAGCTTACTCATTATTCATGTGACCCTGGTTTGTAAGACCATAAAATCATTATAATTAGTCAAAAGCAAATGTGGAAATAAAAGAACTCATTGCTTTATTCGTTTTCCAATCTTTTTGTATGTGGTGTTCAATAAGTTTTATACAAAGGTTTATACCTCCTGAAATTTGTGTTTGTCTTTTATAGTATTATAATAATTCTCATCTAGAAATATTGCTTGGCATGTTATGTTGGGTCTAAGCTTTTATGAAATAATCAAATTGCTTGAATATATAAAAGGGAGGTAATTAGATATAATGTTTTTGTCCATTACTAACACTAATAAGTAGATAAAAGTTAACACTAACTAAAATATGCTGGTAAACAAGTAATGAGTAACTGGACTACAGATGAAAAAAATAGGACAGAGTGTAGGTAAGTATGAATTGGATTTTTTTTTAGAAAAAAAATATCTACTTAAAATTATGTTTTACAAGGGAAATCTGACAGCCCAAATAAAAATCCAGGGAGCTAAAAACATCATGACTCTTGGTCTTAAAACCTTTTGGGTAATACAACATTATCTCCCCTGAACTGCTTCCATAAAGTTCTTTCTGGAATGAAGGGATAAAGATGTTTAATGTCAACAAAAGTCGTACAGAAAATGAATATAATGAAGTGCATTTGCTCCTAAAATACAAATTAAGTGTTAAAACCAGAAATAAAATGGAATATGCATTTAACATAACAAACATTTTTGATAGCCTTGATAATTTTCACTTTGATATTTTCTTAAATTGTTAAGTAGACTGATATATAACTTTCATATTAATTGACATTTTGATTAACAGAAAAACAAATATGAACACATTTTTACTATCAACTTAACAATATGTTTGAACAATATTTTCTGTTCAGCCTTTAAGATATCAACAGTAATGTCTGTTTAACATCAAAAACATATTTTTCCATACAAAACAATGTAAAATATTACAAAAGACGTGGGGTAAATGCATTAAGATATAGATCATAGTTTGTTGAAATGCTTGTATATAAAAACAGTGGGAGTATTTGTATGAAGTTAAATCATACAACAAACAGATATAGAAAACAAGAATAAATATCTTAATGGATGCTCTGATTAAATGAGATTTTTGTTTACCTGAAGAATAATGAAAATAAGCACAATGATTTTGATTGACTTCAGAAGCTCATTCAAGTAGCCATTTCATCATATACATAGCAATTTTGAAGAATGAAAACTTAATGTACCAAATCTAATATAATTTATATTTATAAAATATTGATAGAGAATCAAAGCGAAAAATCAAGATCAAGAGGATAAAGTGGGCATAACTAGATAGACACAGCAAAAAGCATACCTGTGTTTAAATGAAAGGAGATACAGTTTGAAAAATTAACTTCTATTAAGATTACCTTTGATATGCACTTGCAGCCATTGCATTTGTTATATGTCTTTCAGATAAAATATCTAAGAACTTTGTGGGAAAATGAAAAAATAGCATAGCAAATGAATATTTCATTGGTCCGTAATAGGGGACTAAGCTGGCTACAGATAAAACATGTCATGGTATGATTTATTGGATAATAAGTTCCAAATTGTGTCTCTTGTTACCTCCCTTGATATCACACATACACAAAGTAACATATTGGGGACAATTCTGTATTGACAGAGTGACACCTACAGAATAAATAACATTGTGAATTCTTTGATTAAATATTATATTTGTTTTCTTTTTACCTCTCAGTAGGAACACAGAGTCCCGAGGAGAAGTTTACTTTCTCAGCATCAAGTTTACGAAAGAAGTTTGCATTTGCTAAAGCAAGCTCTCTAGAAATAGAGGAGAAAAAGAACAGAAGTTTCTCACCCTCGCCAAAAGGTTCACCAGTAAGTTAAAGTTTTATAACGTATAGCATGAAAAATAACATAATTTATTTAATAAATAAATATTATAAAGATGCTTGCTTTATTTCAGTTAGATTTATATTATATGCCCTTGGAAATGGGCATGAAGAATCAGCTTGTCCGTTAATCGGTGTGTTTTCTTTCACAAATAGATAATTTTGTGGTTCAATTAATACAGATTCAACTTTTAAGTCTTACAGGTACATAAACATCTAACAATAACCTATTGTAACGGTATTGAACTGTTCATTAATTAGGTGAGGAAAATGTGCAGTCTGACTGGGACTTGAACCTTGGAATTGAACTCTGGAATACGGTACCTTGGCTCTACCCACTGAGCTATCCTGCTGCTTACTATCTCCCCTAATTAGTGCATAGTTCAATACCGTGACAATAGGATATTGTCAAATGATTATGTATTTGCTCTCTGAAAAAGATATATATTTTCTAATAAGTTGTACATAGGTTATTCCTCTAGTCGCAATTTTATTCTTACTAAATCTTTTTTCTTTCTTTTTTCAGAAATCCCAAAAGAAAGAAATCAAAAATTTGTATGTAGCATTATATAATTTTAAAGCCAAGGAGAAGGACGATATAGATCTAAGGTAAGCATTTAACCATATTTAGTTATGTAGATTTAAGGAGATTATGTGACCATATTTGGTAGGGATTACATGACCATATTTGGGAAATAGAGATCTGATGGAATTATATGACCTTATTTGAGAAATACAGATCTGATGCGGATAATTTGACCATGTTTTGGGAATACAGATTTGAGGAAATTATATGACCATATTTGGAAAATATAGATCTCATGGGATTATATGATATAGACCTCATGGGATAATATGACGATATTTGGGAAATATCAACCTGACATGGGATTATATGACCATATTTGGGGGGGGGGAAAAAATACCTCACGGGATTATATGAAAATATTTGGAAAATCTGATGGGATTACATGACCATATTTGTGAAATAAAGATTTTATGGAATTGTATGACCCTTTTGGTTGATATTACTATGAGGCAAGTATATTACTATATTTTGTAAATATAAATTAAGGGTTCAGTATATTAGCATATTTAGTAAAAAAAAGATATTATTGATAACATATATTTAAAGGTATTATATGACCTATTTTTTCTTTAATGAATGGCATTCAAACATATCGGTGTAAATCAGATGAAAGTTGAACTTGTTATTAATGAATTTGAGTAATCGCTTAAAATCAATGCAAGTACTCAAAGGTTCATTTTAGATATAATCTTGAACACATGCAATTAACAAACAAGATATGGTATGCAAGAAAGACCTGTGCTTTTCCAATAAAATTTTATTTCAGTAATCAGTTTTAGCAATTTTTCTGAATGATGTTTTTTTAATTATACAATACCCGTGTATTTCTATTTTTAGGGCAGGTTGGCGAGTTAATGTTACAGACAGCTCCAAAAAAGATTGGTGGAAAGTAAGTTCAATCAATATTGCTACTAATATTTAAAGTTATGTAATAGAAAGAGCACCAAAACACGAGGCTATCTGATTTGTACGAGGGGGCGTAGTTAATCAGATAGCCGAGTGTTTGATGTTCTTTCTCTTTTGTATCATAGTCAAACATAAAAACATGTTCCCTGTTGTCACAATATGAAACTCCGGCAAAAATGAACCAATGAACGAACATCTGAATATGATATTTCTGTCGCTTTCCTTTTCTCTGCCGTCACAATATGTAAACCCCAGCAAAAATGAGCCAATCAATGGGCATGCTCTGGAGTGCGGGTAACTAATACCCGCACTCCAGTTAACGCACTGTGCATGTATATGTATACGATTTAACCCTGACACATTTTCAACAGAAAGGTCTCCAAACTATGATACAAAAGGGATTTTAATATCTCTATTTTCTAAATGAACTAGATACTTATATTAGGTCAAATTGGAAAACTTTCTATACTGGCACTGAGGCCTATCGCTAGTTAACAAAAGTTTCAGAGATTGTAAAGAAATTTTGTATTGTAAAATATGTGGACAAAAAGTTTGTCCTGAAGGTCTTGAATTCAGTCAGAAAATGTGACTGTAATATGTCTATATTCTGACTACTGATACAATTTAATCTAAAGCTTTCTATTTATACATGACACTTATCGTATGAACTACTTTAATCTAATCAATCGAACATGTATTTGTTGATTTTCAGGGCAAAACCCATGGAAGAACAGGATATTTTCCAGCAACGTATGTGATACCATTGCAATTAGATCAGAGGGTCTTCCAGGTGTTACAGCCTTTAAATCTCTCAGATGGCAATTATTCTATAAAGTTTCATAAAGATCAGGTAATCTTATCAGTATTATTGATTAGGCAGATATTATTATAGCTTGTTATTTTTGGTTGGGTATTTTAAAATTAATTTTTTCATTTTGATGAATTTCATTCTGTATCAAAAAAATACTGAATCACCCTTAGGATATGAGGCCTGCTTTTTAAATTTGTCTTTTGACGTTATGAATCACCCTTAGGATATGAGGCCTGCTTTTTAAATTTGTCTTTTGACGTTATATCTGTGATATGCAGGCTTCATAACCTCAGATCCCCTTTCAAAATTCCATTTTATTTAGTTCCGTCCATTGTTTTCTCGTTTAGGGCACATGCATTTTTTACTTGGGGACAATATGCCGCTTTTCATGGAATGGCACTAACGTGTCACATTGAAGGTTCCATGATAACCGCCATATGAACACATATGTTTCCAAATTCTAAATTTTACCAGTTCATATTAAATGTTGAATTCTGCTTAAGCCGGTGCTAGGGGGCGTGGACGGGAGTTTGCACTTGACAGTACCGTCCATGAACAGACTCAATCAAACCGAGCCTGCAACATTTTCAATTTTGCCGCGTTGGGCTTTCTTTAGGGATTCTTATTTCACTGTATTTGATGACAAATTTATGGATATATTTCTCATATTTATAGAATTTGCAAAATGTATGCAATCAAAAGTCTGGTTTATCAAGGTCATTTTATATTTTTTTAGCATATGTTACAGTAAAATGAAGATAATTAGATGCAGTTACTAATTATTTCTATATCATTTGCACATTTATGTACTTTTTAGCTCACCTGTCATAAAGTGACAGGGTGAGCTTTTGTGATCACTTTTCGGCCGTTGTCCGTAAACTTTTACTTTAAATGACATCTCCTCATAAAACACTAAGCCAATTTCATCCAAACTTCACAGGAATGTTCCTTTGGTGGTCACCTTTGAAAATTGTTCAAAGCATTTAATTCCATGCAGAACTCTGGTTGCCATGGCAACCGAAAGAAAAAACTTTAAATATCTTCTTTTAAAAATCCAAAAGGCTAGAGCTTAGATATTGGGCATGAAACATCTTCTAGTGAGTGTCTACCAAGTTTGTTCAAATAAAAGCCCTGGGGTCAAAATTGGCCCCGCCCCAGGGGGTCATTGATTTTCCCTATATGCATATAGTAAAAACTTAAAAAATCTTCTGTTAAAGAACCAAAAGAGCTAGAGCTAAGATATTTAGCATGAAACATCTTCTAATGGATGTCAACCAAGTTTGTTCAAATAAAAGCCCTTGGGTCAAAATTGGCCCTGCCCCTGGGGGTCATTGATTTTCCTAATATGTGTATAGCAAAAACTTAAAAAATCTTCTTTGAAAAAACCCAAATAGCTAGATTTTAGATACTAAGCATGAAACATCTTCTAGTAAGTGTCTACAAAGTGTGTTCAAATAAAAGCCCTGGGGTCAAAATTGGCCCCGCATTAGGGGGTCATTCATTTTCCTTATATGTGTATAGCAAAAACTTAAAAATCTTCCTTGAAAAAACCCGAATAGCTAGAGTTAAGATATTAAGCATGAAACATCTTCTAGTAAGTGTCTACAAAGATTGTTCAAATAAAAGCCCTGGGGTCAAAACTGGCCCCGCCCCAGGGGTGTCATTGTTTTTAACAATACATGTATGTGTATAGTAAAAACTTAAAAATTCTCTTTTAAAAAACCCAATGAGCTAGAGCTTAGATGTTTAGCATGAAACATCTTCTAATTGATGTCTACCAAGTTTGTTCAAATAAAAGCCCTTGGATTAAAATTGGCCCTGCCGGGGGTGGGGGGGGGAGGAACAAAGGGGGCGGGAGACCATTAATTTTTCTCTTATATGTGTATAGTAAAAACATAAAAAAATTTCTTTTAAAAAACCTAAAGAGCTAGAGCTTAGATACTAACCATGAAACACCATTGAGTGAGTGTCTACCAAGGTTGTTCAATAAAAACCCTGGGGTAAAAATTGGACCCGTCAGGGTGGGGGGGGGTCATTGTTTTCAATTATATGTCACATATGTGTGTAGTAAAAACTTAAGAAATCTTCTTTTAAAAAACTCAAAGACCTAGAGCTTAGATATTTAGCATGAAATGTCTTCTAATGGGTGTTTACCAAGTTTGTTGAAATAAAAGCCCTGTGGTTTAAACTGGCCCTGCTCTGGGGGCCTATATACAGGTGAGCGACTTCAGGGCCATCATGGCCCTCTTGTTTACTTATACTTACAATTGTATGAAAAAGTAATGTGTCAATACTTGTTATTTAAATTAACATAATAAATTATTTATTTACAGATTGTATTACAAATAGGTGAAGAAGTAGAGGGAATGATTTTGGTTCGGGCAGCAAACAACCGCCAGGCATTATGTCCGCTTTTATACCTACAGGAGTTATGATAGTGGCTTTTATTAGAATAGACTTTTCTTTTTCAAAATTCTTATTTTTCGAAATTTATGTCAAAAATACTGTATTGTTGATGATGTATTGGAAGATTCAATACAGCATGTTATAAATGAAACTGATGGAGAAGTTATTGTTATTAATTAACTGGTTAATGTTCATTGTGATTATAATGGCTTGTTTGTTGAATGAAAATGTTGATGTTAATGTAGGAGAAAAATGAAACAAGTTGATATGTGAACCGTTATTGAGTTATAGATATTGTTTTGCGATGTTGATTTAAAGTGAATTGGTCTATAATGGAAGGCCTGTACGTTATGCAATGATTAAATTCATTGCTAGTATTTAGTATCAGACAATATAACAACAAACCACAAAACAAAATTGTTGGCAAGTGTGAGATACCTGATACGATATTACATATATAGCAGATAAAAAATATTTTAGAACAAAATATTATTATTCATCATATATAATGTTCACTCTAAATCACTTAGAACTAAAGCAACATTTTTATTTTCAAGCAAATTTTTATAAGAATATCCAAATGATACATTTCTGTTGTGTATTTTTTCCAGTACTTGAAATACTCATGAAAATAATGTGCCCATTGTAGACCAATCCACTTTAAAATGAAAGTTAACCTGTTAACCATGTCATGATAGTTAACTGGTTAACCATGTCATGATAGATGATAGTTAATCGGTTAACCATGTCATGATAGATGATAGTTAACGGTTAGCCATGTCATGATAGATGATAGTTAACTGGTTAACCATGTCATGATAGATGATAGTTAACCAGTTAACTATGTCATATATTACAAAGAGTGTGATAAGTGTTAGAATCTAAGACTTTTTTAATAATTTTACATAAATTTTGAAGTGAACATATCTTACGGTCCAAGTTATTAATTTGATATTGAGAATTAAGTAAGATAAGAGCAACCCCTTGTTGTTTTTTGTATTGTTTTTTAAATTAATTTTACTTGAATTTCATAATCTAATGGCTTTATACAGTAAAATATTATATAAGTTGAGTATTTTAAGTTTGTGGTAAAATCCACTGTTTGTTTACTTTGCATAACCTCAGTATCTTGTTGAGTTGGCATGACGATAAAGTGACATGCATATACTTGTATAGTCAACACTTTCAACATATTCTGTACTTGTTAATATTTTCATGCAGCTTTATTTAAATCTTTAATATAAGTCTCTGATATCTTGACATTAAAAAAAATTTCTTTGTAAAATTTAGTACTTACTTTGTAAACCTAAGAAAATTATCTGTTTTGTTGATTTTATTCCAATGAAATTCAGGTTTTTTTAATTTGTTTTTAGGGCTTTCAAGAGGAATATGTGGGTTATTTTTTTCTTTAACAGCCTGAAGTCACTGGATTAGACTATTGAGAGGTACTCGGGGTTTCTGCTGGCTGGGTTCATTCCAGTGGTAACTTAAAGTCAAATCTAGCTGTGTCCAATAGATGGATAATGTAACTACAATTTCTCTTTGATGAAAATGTATTATAATAATACTCTGCAGTATTAATGTTGATTCTAATTAGGTTCTATTTTTTTTGTTCTTTTTCATTTCTAAGTACTGAAACAGCATATATTATGAAAAGGAATAATTTCTTACTGCTGAAGCAATATTTATTGCAAAAAACAAATCATTTCTCACTACTAAAAGAACAATTATAACATATGCTATGATACTTTGAGTATATTAGTTTTCACCTGTGGGTAATTTATGACCTGTCCATGCCTTACCTTTTATAAAATGGGAAACTTTTATTTTCATTGGTAACTATGATGAATAGCTTTAAATGTTTAAATAAAGGATTTCAGAAAGTAAATTTCTTCAGAGTTTGTTATAAACTATACTTTAACTCTCTTTCAAACCAGGTGTTTTAATTAAATAATAAAACATTGGAAAATTGTTAATTTGAAAATTTGTTTTATTATGCAGCGTTTTTTTTTTAATGATAGGTTATTCTAAAAATAATTCTTTACAGCCAGGTATTTTAGATGGTAAAACAGTTGTTGTAAAAACAATGATAATTTTATAATATTTATGTTTATCATATGTCACTGTGTATTGTTTAGTGTTTCTAATTTATTAAGATGACAGTGAATGTTGTAGTGTTTAAAAGCTGTACTGTTTTTGTTTTCTTCTGTGAAGAACATGATTTATCCACCTTTATATTACCATTGTGCATACCATATTGATATATTAGGGTTTTGAAGAATGACGATTTATTAAGCCAATGCAGGCATATAAATCACTGGTCAATTTCCTTTAATATTGTGTCCCTTTTCTAGCTCGACTATTCGATAAGAATAAGTAGAGCCATCCTAGCTACCTAAGCATCTGCATAACCACTTATGTTAAAGTTTGTGTACCACCTCAAATATTCAAAGTCCATGGCTTTAAAACTTTGCACACTTGTTCACCATCATGATCCCAACCTGTAGACTTGAGGGGGTAACTCTATCAAGCATTTTGACAGAATTATGCCTCTCCTAGACTTAGAATTTATGTTAAAGTTTGTGTACCACTTCAGATATTTTCATATTCCATTGACATCTGGCTTTTAATTTTATACACTTCTATGAGAGCATAAAAGGAATCTGCCTATAATTGTAACATGGATTTGAAAAAAAAATTGGCCCTTTTACATTATCAAGGCTCTTTTACTATTAAGCATTTAGAATAGTTGATAGTCAATAGCTGTCCTACTAACAGCTCTTGTTAACCATACTTTTACATTTTTATGATTACATTCATATAAAAATGAGGTAAATTAGTCTCTAAGGTAAACGAAATAGATTAAGAAAAGCATAATATTTTCTTAGAAAAGCATAATATTTAAACTTCATTAGTAGGGAAATTCTTGAAAGTGCATGCTAGACATTTGTATTTTTAAAGTGTCCTCCTTTAAGTATGGAAATAGATTTAGTAAAAACATTTCTGACAGAAACCTCTATTCTCAGTCTGGATTGAAGATAGGTGTAAAAATATTGCCTCATTTGTTTTGATATTCCTTTTTAAAGATGTTAAGTTTTTGTTTATTTGATATGATATAATTATAAAGGATATTCAAGTTTATATAAATATACAAGTTCTATAAATAGAGACTTTATTTTCATCTAGTGGTATAAAAATGAATATTTTACGAGTGACGTTTTCTATTAATACAGGATTTATTTTCATTCAATGGTATGAAAATAAGTTATCATGAGTGGCTTTAGCCTCCAGTGAAATATGTTAATTTTCATACCACAGGATGAAATTAATCCTGTGTTTAAAGAAAAAAACTTGAATTTTCTGTTTGTTACATACCTTTTCCTTTTTTTACCTTTACTATTATTAAGACTTTGATTTTGTTTTTTGGTTAAATTAAGACGAAAGTAGTCTGGCGGACACCAGTGAAAATATGAAAAACATGTTTTACTGCAGTGAAAAATGAATTTTGACAGTAAAAATACAAAAAATGAAAATATGCATTTTATTTCATCAGAATTTGATATTTCATTTATGGCAGGATATATTGAACTTACATAAATTATTATGGATGGATAAATTAAAATATATCAATCCACATATATAATTGCATATTTCTGTTAATAATGATTGAGTTTGTTAATTTCAAACACCACTGTAATTTCTGTATATTAGACAATCATTTTTGTTGATATCGAAAAGGTTACGCTCTTTTTTGAATCATTTTAATAAAAGATATGTTGAAAGTATGGTATAAATAATTAAATAGTCAATTTGTTGCACTGAGTAAATAAAGAAATGAAATAAGTTGAGGCCAATATAATTTTAAGGTCAATATGTAACTAAGCAGGTCAGGTAAACTACATATTAAATTCAACTTAAGTACATATTCATATGATATTCTGATATATATTTATATGATCTCTTTTAAGAATCAACAATTGGGAAACATTATTATGCTATTTTAAAAAGTGGCGACTTGTGTACTGATATAAATATCATTAGGACAAACAAGGTGCTTGTAATGTCATAAGGTGTGAGATATTATGGCATGTGCAAGTATATCTAAATCAGTATAACATATTTGTTAAATAACCTCAGAAAATTAATCTTAACATATGTTTTTCAATTAATTATATGCCTTTTATTGTGGGGATGGGTGGGGTAGGATAATCATTTTACAATAGGTCATAACAAATTAATGTAACAACAGAGATCTCTTCATTATACTTAAATGTTGATTGAATTGGTTCAAGTTATGACCAGCAAGAAATCTTTGTCAAGATCTCAGGATAAAACTCTACTGCCAAAATCCAGTTTTAAGAGCTGTAAATTTCATTTTCTTATTTTATTTAATTTATTATTTTAAACACTGTAATGTCAGGAATGTTGATGCAACCAAAACTCCTGTTTTTATTATATATTCAAAGATTTTTATGAAAAAGTCACTAAGTACTAGATACATAAAAATACTTTGCTAATGCTTGTAAAGTAGTGTCTGAGGGGTTGCCTTTAAGAGTTCAGGCATCAGAATTGCAACCACACTTTATCCCTGCGTGATTGCTTAGAGGCGACTAAATGGGTTCAAATTACTGAAGTCTATGCATCTCTTAGCTCCAGCAGATGAGGTGGTATTGACTGTTGCTTTGAAGTTAGTAATACCCAAGGTTAGCCAAAATCATCTATTTTTTGGGGGGCCATATTTACCTAAATTGTGTTGGTGTGCCATAAAACAAAACAAAACAAACAAACTAAATGTTTAATGTTTTATACTATCAATATTATGAATGTTATGATAGTACAATACTTTAGGGACCTCTGTGGCCAAGTGGTATAAATGACCCTGACTTCAATCCACTTACCTCTTAACGACATGGATTCCTGTCCCAGCATATATATTTAGGATTGTTTAATGAGATAAAGCTATACAACTAGCCCACAGAATGTTGATGGTTTGACTCTGGTGCCAGATATAATATATCAAGGGGCACCTCAGATCTACTCTTCTAACAATAATGCTTGGAAGTCAACATATGACCTTTAAAGTGTTGGGGTGCAAATTAAAAAATATATTTTAGACAATTCTCTAGAAAACTAATACATCATTGAATTGGTCAGTGCAGCAGATCTAATACATTTATATTTTGATGCAAATTAGTTAACATCGTCGGATACCCACGATTGATAAACATGTCACATAACATGCTGATAAATGTTAATGGTTCGGCCGTGGGTATCCGACGATGATTAGTTAAATGCTTCTGGGAACTAAAATATCCTTAATTCTACTCTGATATGATTAATTCAATTTTCATTATAAAAAAAAGAACACTGAATTGGGATAGCTTCATGCTGACTTATTTTATATTGCATAGTTTTGTTGCCACATGAGTAGATTGTTATTTATGATGGCTTATTTCATTCATTGTTTAGTGTAGATTGTTACATTGGTCATTTAGCTTGTTATACATTTGTTGTTATACATTTCACATTCTACAATTTTATCATGGTATATATGTAGAAGTGTGTTACCAACTCTGTAAGCACATGTGGTATTAATGCGAGGCATAAACAACAAACAATCAGAGCCGGGGCTAGCCATAGTCCTGAACTCTATACTGTAAACACTTTCAGCTTTTTGATGTTGAAACTCATTTGTTTGTATTCAAGCTCATAGGATTAACAATAAAAGATCATTTGCAAATTAAAAGCAAGGCGAGTCCAGTATTGAAATAGCAGTGAAGGTGTAATTTTGTTTTTTGTATTTTTAAGAGTCCACCTCTTAAAGATTAATTAGACATTTTGAAAGCTTTGAGTAATGATCAGTATATTTTATCGGTTAAAACCATTTTGAAATAAAAGTAGATTTTTATTGCCATGTAAAAAAGATACATTCAGTATGAGCAAAGAATCAAAGATTTTCTTATAACAAACACATAATATTTGCTTTTTTTTTGGTAGATATATTATACGGTAAATAAATTGTAGAATGAATGAAAGGTAGAACGAGACATGTATTTTGTTATATAATTGTGATAATACTTTGAAGGCAATACGTGATTGAATTAATGTTGTTTTGTTATTTTTTTGCAGGCCTGTTAGTCTAAAGCCATGTTTGATATAGGATTGTTGGAATATTTCCTTCATTAGCCTTCCTTATTTTAATAAGAAATGTGAAAGTGGCTTTAAACCTAAACCAAAATAATTTCAGAAAGGAGAATATTGAGAGAGAGATACATGTACTAGATAAATATTCTGCGATATTCTAGAAAAATACCCTGTGACATTTATATTATTCAATTCCTTTCCTTGTTCCTTTATTGTTACATTCCAGTTTTATACTTGCAACTTAATGAAATACATAAATACAATTTATAAGCTCATTTAAATGATGTGCTTTAGATTAAACATATTTATTTCAATATTGCACATATTTTACATTTTATATGTATATAATTATTACATAAAATTGAAAGGGATTAGAAGGAAAGAAAACTTATATAGTTCCTCACCCTAAATGATGGCTTTAGGTAGGACTTCATAGAAACATCTTCATCATCTATTATATTTTATGTTTGTAGAGGTTTATTTTTTTATCTTTATCCTCTTTTGTGAGTGACTGTCTGTTGGTCGTATAACAAATGATATTTTCTGGTTTTGAAGTAGTCATATTTAAATTTATGACATTTTCTGTTGTCTAAAAACAAAATATCTTCTGCAAAGAATGTTTCACAATATTTCATTTAGTTTACAAATTTCTATTTCATTTGAAATGAGAAAAATGTTTCTTGCAATTTATATACAATACTCTCAAAGTCCGCTTACTGGAACTAACCAGTATTGGTCTGAAACATGATCATGACATGCTATTTCTTAAACCAGCGAGTCCGAATGTTATTACTAGTCAAAGTGGATATTAGAGGGTTAGAGTAGTCTCTTTGTCTTAATTAATTCAATACAAATATTTTAGGAGTCTAACTAATACATGAAAATAACAATAATAGTAAAGATATGCCTGTTACTTTTACTATGTTTGTTTTGTTTTATTTATATAGTTATTAATGTTCTTTAACAAAGTGATATTTATTGTTGCAAGTGTTTCACAATATCTTGGCATTAAGTATGTTATTTTACAGGAATATTTGACATTTTATACACTGTATCGTATTATTGTTCCTTTTGTGAAACATTCATTTGAACCTTTCATAAGCTTGTTGTTTTTACTCAGGTTGCTTTTGTGACAAAAAATGTGAATGATTATTTGTAGTAATTGTACCAATCTATCATAAATCAAAGTTTGGACGCATGTTTTCAGAAAACATTGTGATTGGTCAGTATCTAATGTTTAAGCTCTGAATCGGCCAATCACATGCTTGTTCTTTTCTGAACTGGTTTCCAAACGTTTATATTTATAAATACTAGAATAAGTGTCTTGTTGATGCACATTAATAAACACTGTATTATAATGCATACTTTCACATTTTGTGACCAATCTCTTCACAGTGCCAATAAATTGTTTGTTGTAAAGTTTTCGTTTTCTTCAATATCTACACCCTTCTGAATTTTCTAAGTATATACATATACAGCACAACATAGTTTAATATGATGTTTTTGCAGCATTCATACAGATAACGAAAATACGATGGCTCTCTTTTCACAGTTATATTATTATGGAGACTTCTCAGTAAGGTTTGGAAAGTCACCACATAGGTTTGACTTATGACCAACCAATTAAAACAGAGCAAGTTATTAGTTCTAGTTGTTTCTTGTCTGGCCGGACGCAAAATGCAAGTAGAGCAAAAATAATTTAACGTGCGGCATGTAAGCATGAAGAATACAAAATTCCCAAATACACATGAACAGTTGAAGAAGTATGCAGAATTTGTCCCTCGCACTTTTCACTTGGGACTACTAGACGACAGGGTAAAAATGTTATTTATATACATTTTTATTAAACATTACTTAGTAAAAGGCTTTATATATATGACAAAATATATATGACAAAACTTATCACTGACGTATAGAAAAAAGACGTGCATATTTCATATACGGGAAGTAAGAGACTGTACAGTGCTGCCCGCCATTTTTTATTCAGGCATAAAACACATTACAAATGGGAACAATAGTATTTATCTTGCGTGAAATTCAGAATCAATTATATGTTCACATCACAATGTAATTGACAATGCAAAATGACACAAAAAAGGTTTTTAAATGTTAGAGACGGTAGAAAGCAGATCAAAATTCCATACATTCATGCTTATATTTTGATAACTCCAGATTATTAATGTTGGTATTTTCTTATAAAAATATTGTATATTACTTTTTTGACAATATAATAATGTCCTTGCGCTATAACAACGCTGTTTATTTTCGATTGAATTATATTTGCATACAGCAGCTTTTAAACGATATATCAAAATTATAAACGCTATACGCAACTAGTGATGCTAAATATTAAATAATGAATTCAAACGCTTTTCTTTACATCAATACAAATCATTTATTGTATTTTCTGATCGCAAGATCAGTAAATACATAGCTAACATCCACAGTCTTACACAAAATTTCCTAACAGACCTAACAACGCAAAGTAGTTCTCACTCAAAACTGCTAAAAATCAGCAATTTAAAAGAAAGAATAATTTTTAATGTAGGCATTTAACGAATTACAGTGCATTCAAAGTTTAGATTAGTCAAAAGAAATTTCGCGGATGAAAATCTTTTTTACCCAATGAAAAATGTTCGGCTATTTCCGTAAAGCTTAATCAATGAAAATGCTATTTTTAGCTATGTCGATTACCGAATACTCCAGAGCGTAGTACACAAATAAATCTGGGTGTCGAGTAGTGGAATATATACATGTCGGACTGTTTTGGCGAGATTTTCTCTAAATTATTTTCATCAGTGTTTAACAACAGGTTTATCGTGAACAAAATACCTCGAAATTAATAAGGGTTACAAACACGGAAATTCTCAATTTAGAATTACAATGTATTTGTTTTTATTCAAGCTACATAGGTATTACTTCACCGTGGCTCGTTTAGGGTGTGAGAGGCCTAAGGTTCAAATCCTAGTCGAGGCATTTTTTTTTTGAAATGTCATTTTAAGGAAGTAGCCACGATATGCAAGGATAAAGTGTGGCTGTCATAAAAAATGAAAAATGATTTTTTGATGCAACTCTAGTCATGCAAAATTCCATAATTATGTATCAATCTCAAACTGTTATAGAAAAAAATCTAAACGCAGTCGCTGCGTAAGATGAATTATAGTATATAAAAATAAATTTATACAGGAAAATACAAACAGATAGTCAGTATGATTTAGATTGCAAAGATCAGAAAATACCACAGAGCTTGCAGCCCTTTGATATTAAATGGTAATGTGAAGATGATCATATGTACAGTTACTGGCATATCAATGTTAATCATTCACCAGGAGCTGTTATGAAATCAGACGATTCCACAAGTGTCCATTAGCAGCGGTGAGCTGAATGTGTCATCGATACAGGCCTACTTTTCGTTAAAATGCACGGCGCAGTATCAGTATATGCCTACTTTCAGCTGATTGTGAAATTATTACTTATGACTTGAAGCATATACATGTATTTTATTGTATGTATTTTTATGAACGACTTTATTTTAATATATCAGGAATATCTGGCCCATCGTCTTTGCATTGGACTTGTATTGCCTCCACTTTCAAACTTCTTTTCGAGAGCCGTTTTTTCAGAATCTTATAATTTTTCTTTATCTTTGTCGCTTCTAATATTAATGTAGCACTGTCTAGATAAACTATAAATGAGATACAAGAAACAATGATTACAATCCCCACTGTACCTAGGGTGGTGGCCGATGCCCGATTGTCAGTTGCACTTTTGTATTTTCTTGTATTAGAAGATAAAGTATCTGCGTCTAATGTTAAATCTGCAATGAGTTCCTCAAACGTTTTGTTGGAATTTGAATATATGGACGTGAGATTTGGGGTCACTGTACTAGTTATAGTCTCATTACATGGACAGTACATTGTTCCGTTTACTAGTATGGATTGGTTATCAAACACATAATAAAGGGATGATATATTGGACTGAGTGGTTGACGGAGCATTAGTTGTTGATATTGATGACGTCACAGCGTCAGTTGAACTGCCTGTTGATGTTGTTCCCGAGACTGTAGTAGTAGTAGTAGTAGTAGTAGTAGAAGTTGTTGTTGTTGTTGTTGTTGTTGTATTTCCTGTAGAATGCGACATTTGATATAAATTCCAATGTGAACGAAATATCAATAATTGAAAAAATGAAAATACAAACGTATTTATTTCTAATGAAATTGAAATAACATGTCAAAGAATTGAAAGTAAACCGTATTAGAATTTATTACATTAATTACACCTTGATGAAACTCGTCTATGTGTAGATCTTTCAAGTAATACTAAATATATATACAGTAAAAACTCGGAAAGACGGACCCTCTGAAAACAGTATACATTTTGTATTAAAAACGGTGTCAATAAAAAAAATAAGATAAAAAATTTTGGGAATAAAAATCTTACCAAATTGTGCAAAAACTGCAATCATCGGAACATCCACATACGTATTCTCTGAAATATTGAAGCTATTTTTAATGATTTATTCCAGTTTTTATTTGTGAAATATATATTTTTTGTTGGGGGCTGCGTTTATGGAATATCGCCTTTCCTTGTTTGGTTTAAACATATTTATTTAAGCTCTATCGCGAAACAAGTTCTTGCAACTTATATTAATCACTTTCGAGTCCGTTTCCTGGAACAAACCAGTTCTGATGTCATATGAAGAAACAAGGTCGTAACCCGATTAGGGCTCGAACCCATAATCCATGGGTTAAGAGAAGAGGCAGGCATCTTAACCACTTCCTTTCCTTGTTGATCTTTTTTCTAAAACTTTCGTAAAATTGTAACCATATTGAAAAGAAATGAGTGCAAAATATGACAATTGTAGATAGTGAAACAAACTAAATAATAAATCTGAACAAACCAGAAGGGCCATAAAGTTGAATTGTTGATTGTACAACATCCCACTCATACAGGATTTGTAACCCTTCTAATAGTAATACATGTATATCCACAGGAATTCCATCTGTGTCGAAATACTACAAAGAAGAAAGAGAAAGCTAAATAAACACTTACATAAAAGTGCGACATTCAAATAAGTACAATAACAAAAGATAATAAAAATGTTTCATATGCTCATAAATGTCAATAGTTTTTATTTCACGAATGTCAAGTTATAAAAATATATCGGTTTTATTCATGAAGGAAGAGAAGAAACAAAATGTTATTTAATTAAAATATAGAAAAGGACACAATGAATAGAACAAATTTATATGAAAATTGCCGACTCGGTTTGAGATGAGAAACCGTAAAAGTGCACGCCCCCCCCCCCCACACACACACACACACACAGCACCGGTAATTCAATAAAGCGATATTTAATATTCTTTAAATATTTTTAACAATTGAATGTCACTTGTGTGGAAAATTAACATAAATTTCCACAATCTAACGAAGTGAACTTCACAATGTTTGTGCAAGAATTAAGTAAATGTAAGGCAACTTATACTTACAATATTGCCTTTATCTTCATATTCTTTATAGTGATCACCAAGCCAGTATAAGAATGAATACAGCATTATATGACCAGTAGAGTTCGTAGCATTTACACTTATTTTGTCAACATAAATGAAGTCATCCGTCCAACCACGTGATACCAGTTCAGTAGATATATTTATCTGTAAATCAAGTCAAATCATTTTTACTCTCTGTATCATCACACCCAAACATTTTACTAAGGGTTTGCTTTTGGCGACCACAGGGCATAGCTATATTCTTTGCGTATAGTTTCATCAAAAATAAAAGCAAACTGAGGTAGTACTGTGAAAACAATCAATATCTGTATATAGATTTAATACCGTTGATCCAAAACATATGATACAACATGAAACTACACGGCTTCCCAAAAAAATAATTAATGAATACTATACAAACATCATATTTCAAAAGTGTTAATTTTCAAGCATATTTGATTACATAACGATTACAGCAGACTTTTGTAACTTCCAATAATCACTTAACCTGCCTACGATATTTATTGTTCTACAAATTAAATCATAATATTATGACATGGGCGAAGTACGCAATTTCTTTCTTACAAAAATATAAATAGAATATCAAACAATTTACAAAAAAATAACGCACACACACGGCTACCACATATTACAATAAATATTTTTTTCTATGTTAAACATATATCAGATGACTGTATAGGGGGTAGCATAAATAGTTACGTTTAGCTCGATTTATAAAATAGTGAAATATTGTCAGTGAAATTTACTGTGTAAATAAAGTATTTATGAGAAATATTCAAAAGTATAAATTGTGTGAAAGTGTAATATCGATTTCATTTACTTCTTTAAATGTCTAAATTACCAGCATTCGATCAAAACAAGAGACGTTGTCCTCATAATATCGCAGTCGTATATTTGATATAAAATCATCTTAGAATCTGAATTATTTAAAACTGTCACTACGGGACTTTTTTTACATCACGGAACTGGGAATATGTTTTCAAAATTTATACATGTATATCATTTAATGTTAGTCTGTACATATAACTTGTGTGCAAAATTTTAAATCATTCCCACACTTCGATATTTCAGAATTTTTAGGTAAATTAACTAAAAAAATAAAAAGCGTTTTTAGATAAAACCGCCTTTATCACAAATCTTGTTAAGAATTGCACATCGCAAAAAATATCAATTTTCAATTCAATACTGAGTATGTTTTGCATATTTTCACAAGTTATATATGAAAGAATTTATAAAATTTATGTTTTAGTCTTTTGAAAACTCCTTTGAAATCGTTATTATATAAAAATCGACATTTTCATGAATTAAGCTCATTATGTGCCAGTATGCTTTTATTTATTTCTCAAAGTTTTTTTTTAAATTTCAAATGTGCCATTAGAGTTTACAAAATGTTTCTCACTGACAAATCACCCAAATCTTTGTATGGCCAGTCTAGTATATCTAGTATTTTGTATGGAAGTCAAAACACTCTTCTTATTTAACATTTTGCTGGTTTTATGTCAAGTATCTTCGTATTCAGACTTTATTGTAATAAGCACCAAGCAAGCTCATAAATTATTATTTTACAGTAACAAAACCTATGCTCGTCCACTGAGGTTTTCGACATCACGTGACTGGAATTTTTTAGTCCAAAATGTGTGTGTGTCATATGATGTTACATGACACAAATTTTCAAAAAAATCAATAATTTCTTTTTTCCGAAATAATAAATTTTTATGGTGAAAATGACATAAAAATGAAAAGCGTTGCAAAGCTTGTCTGCTAAATTTGGCTAAATTCGGCTAAAATCGCATATGAAATTGATTTTCAATTAAATCCTGTATTTCTTTCCAGAGTTTTCAATGCTAAGAGCTTCACTTGATATTTATAAAAATTTCGAATTTTATGTTTCTAGGCTTTTAGACCTCAGTGAATTTTTTTTAAGAATGATCATTTTATTCCTTTCTGAGGCATTACATACTATATCAATATTGTTATTATCTTGAAATAGTGACTATCTTAGATTTTTTTTTCTTAAAATAAAGAAAAGAAAATCATCTTAAAATCTTAATTATCTTAAAATCCAAAAAATAAAACAAACAAAAATATTTTTAATCATATTATTATAATCATCTCGTATTTTTAATGACAACACTGCCCCTCACCGCTGTGGGTTTGAATCCCGACAGGGACTTTGGATTCTTTCATGTGAGGAAGCTATCCAGCTAGCTTACAGAACGTCGTTGGTTCTACTCAGGTGCCCGTTCATGCCTGAAAAAAATACACGAAGGGGCACCTGAGGTCTTCCTCCACCAGTAAAGCTGGAACGTCGCCAAATGACCTATAATGTGTCGGTGTGACGTAAAACCCAAATCAAACCTAATTAAAAAAATATGACAACGCAACATCATATCTAAACATGATAAACGTACGGTATGGTTCCATGCTCCAGTATAAGTAAGTGTTAGTAGAGGAACTGAATCTGGTGTATCCGGGAGACTGTCCAGTTGATCTTGAATAAATAGATAAAAATGTTATTTATTTAATTGCTTTTTTAAACAAAATACACAGATGAATACTTACCCGTTAAAAGCAGGAAATGATATGAGAAACACATTAAAGTATATAACATTAAAGCAGCGCTAAAATTTATATACAATGCATACTAACTGACATAACTTTAAAGCGTTACAATTTACATCTTTAAGCATTAAAGTACATAATCTAAGAGCGCTAGAAATTGCGTTAAACACACATGAAGGTATATAAATTTATAGTGGTACATTTTTTGTGAAATACACATTAAAGTATATAACTTTAAAATGCAACGAATCAAACATGTACATACATATACATATTAGCATAAACAAAACAGAAACAAATTGGTGCTACAGAAAGATACACAATGGTAAAAAAAACACCATAAAGAACGCCAAAAACGGCAAAATATAAAAAAATGCTGCAAGCTCAGTTTGATTGAGCTTGATCATGGACAGTAGTAATGAAAGCAAGCTACAGTCCACACACCCCGGCACCGGCCTATATATATATAAAAAAATCAACACGGTGAAATTCTGAATAAGGAAACATCCACAGTTGATTCCAAAGTGCGGTTATCATGGAATCTTCAATGTGACACGTTCGCGCCATTCAATGAAAAGCGGCGTAAGGTCCCGGAAAAAAGTCTGCCCTGAACAAGATAGCAATGGGTGGAAATTACACAAAATTGAATTTTGTAAGGATATCAGAAGCTATGACACTTGCATAGTACAAAATTTTAAAAGGTATGTGACATATTCTTAAGATGATAACATAGACTGTCATATTGAATTTGACTCGACATCATATTTGTATTTCATATTTAGTCTTTAAAACAGATGAAGTTTATTAGACAGATATGACATCATATTTCATTGGTTAGATTAAATAAATATGCTGTTATAGTATATCCCAGGGGTATGTAACACCGCACTTCGCACTGCACTTTGGGGTCAAACGCACTTTGGGGTCAAAATCGAGAAATTGACCCCAAAGTGCGTTAATATGCTACATATCAACGCACTTTGGGTTCTAGAGATCTAAAGGTGTCATCTGAGTTCTGCTTAAATACTGAGTACTGACTTATTTTCGATCTGCGACATTGAAATATTTGAGGTGGAGTTCAAGATGGCGGTAAATACTTTGATGATACTTAAGTGATAAAAGTTTCATTAATTTTACCACTTGAAATATCTAAAAATTGTGTTAATATAACAAAATTACTTGGCATAAAAGTGACATTTGCATTTTTTTTAGTTTTGCATACATATTATTTTTTAGTTTTGCATACATATGTTGTTTTAGTTTTGCATTCATATTTTATTTCAGTTTTTCGTACATATTTTATCTTTGAGTATACAACTAGCACAGTGGTTTGGTCACATTTCGGCTCATTTTTAGAATCGGCCAAGTCGTTTTCGGCCGGGCAAGTCTGGTTTCGGCCGACCCTTTTCGGCCCATTTTTTAAATTATATGTATTTTAAATAATAATTTTTTTTATTATAATTATATACTATAACTGTACATAAATGTCTATCTTGAAAGGGCTGAAGATTGGTGATCAGTTATACTTATGAATATGCACCACTCAACCCCACGCCCTGAGAATAGCGGGGGGGGGGGGGGGGCATTGACTTTAAACCAAGCCGACCACTGGTAAAATCTTCGCCCTGCGGAGGATACTCGGATAACAACATTCCTGCCTTATGCCCCGGAACAGCGCAAGCATCAAAGCACGATTCTTTTTTAACCCGCACTCCTCCGCGGGCAAGAGAGGTGGTTACAAATGACTGGTGTATTACAATAATGCACAACAAAAGTTCTAAAAATGTCCTTACATTCCACTGATTTAGAAAAGAAATGCTTAAGGCTAAGCTTTGAAGGATTTTTATGAAAACTTGGTCAATTCTTTTGCACATCCAGATAATGTGCAGAACTTATATGCCAGGTGTACCGGCTCAAGGTCGGGGTCACACATACAGGTCAAAGGATTAAGACTTGGGTTTCATGTCCGCTCCTTATCTCCAAAACCCCATAAAGGATTTTCAGGCACTTTGTGTAAAATGCTAATCACATCGTGACAATATGCAGAACCTTTCTTCGGGTTACCGCGGACTATATATATACTATAAGTGTTGTTATTTTTTTGATACCTCCAAAATGAAAATGTAATTTAAAGATGGCGAAGTGTTTAAAAATGGTGTTTTACAAATGGCGTAATTATCCAAACCTCTACTTTGCAAATTGCGTCATGTAAAAATATGTACAAAAAACTAAAATAAAATATGTATGCAAAATTAAAAAAGAATATGTATGCAAAACTAACAAAAGTATGTATTCAAAACTTAAAAAAAATATGTACGACAAACAAAAAAAATATGTACGAAAAACAAAAAAAAGTATAAAAAATGCAAATGTCACTTTTATGCCACCGTTCAAAATACTCTAGTACAGAAATTGTGTATTCCTAAAATTAAAAGATGCTGCGAAAAATGTCCCGTTCTGTCAGCCCCATTTTAAATATGTTGGGAATGAAATAAAATGCAGTTAATATTTTTTTCCAAAGAACCATAAATATACTCTATTGCAATGTTCTGGTGAAACATCAAGTTTTTCGATCGGACTATAAATAGTGATTTTTACAAATACATTATTAAGATTATCAACAAACTTAAGGGTTTTTTGTAAGCTCCGTAACAACCGTTCGCCAGAGGCTTTTTTTAATGGGAAATCTTACATATTTCGTTAGAAAATGCAAACATGAATTTTATAATGTTAAAATAATGGTATCAGAGAAATGTAAGATGCTTGTTACCTGAATAAAGTAGCGATAAATGTGAGATTATTTGTTATAAAAGTAGTCAAAACAATGTAGTATTTGACTAATTCACTATAACTGTACTCATCATTGCCAAAAAGCAACAGATGAAAAAGATGGTTCAGATAATTGGCCAATGTGTAATTTTTGGATAATATAGAAGAACATCAAAATTAAAAAGCTTTTAAGAAAAACAAATAAAAGCATAATGGGCCTTTAAAACGTTATTTTTAACCCTCGGGGGGGGGGGGGGGGGTCGATACCCCGCAATCCCCTCTATCACGGGGGAGAATCACGCCGTTCGTTATCCAAACAAGCAAGATGGCGGATGCAGCCAAAAAGTAGTGTTTTCCCTTTTTTTTCTCTGAAATTCGTGATGTCCTGATGTTAAAGTACATATATCAACCGTCTCCACAATTTTCCTGGCACACAGAATTTTATATCATGATGTTTCGTCTAGTACTTCATCTGAAATGCGCGTCACCAGATTCGAAGCGAGAGTATTTTCCACCGATTTGATCGTGGTAACGTACGGCTTTTTCTCTAAAATTCACTGTTTTGTTTACATACATGTATATTAACTGAAACCACTGACTTGAAAATGTTGTAATATGTCGTCATCTAAGCATTCATGCCCATTCTGGCTAGAATAGCCCCTGAAAATATAACTATCGTGGCATTTTCTGGAAATGATAACGTATGGCGCACAAAATATCAATGATAACGTACGGCGCATTTTTCTGATTAATTGATTTTCTTTACAATAGAAAAGTTATGTTTACAAGACATAAGAGGATGTGTAGAACCAAATTAGGAAACTGAAATAAATAATATTAGTGTCTAGCTTTATTTGTTATCCAATGAAATTTCTTAAAAATTCTTTGTGTAAATTTTCATAGAAGAACAAAAGTCGATGATATATCAAAGTCCGTTCATAGCAGCCTTTTATTTTTCATAGTGCTTCATAGAGCCGCGTTTGTGCAAATGGACAGGTATTGTGACGAAATAAAGTAAATATTAATGAAGCCAAATAAAACTTGACACTTAGTATGTTTGTATTCATACGTAGCTGTTCTACAGAAATAAGAAATATTCTCCGGTCGCTATCGCTCCCGTCGAAGTTTTTAATTTCTGTAGAACAACACGGATGACATATGATAAACAAGATCACCAAGGAAAGGCGGCGTTCAATGAACGCAGCCCCCACCTGACCCAGTAACAAGAGCCAGTGGCAAGGAGCCCAGGAGGACCCCAAACAAAAACAGGGAAGGGCATAAGGCCGAGTACACTTACATATACTTCGTAAACACTAGTTTAAGAGTAACGTAATAATTTTTAAAACCATTCTTTCATAAAGATAATGACGTCATCTAAGTGTATGAGCGATCTGGCATTAAAGGTTTCATCGGAATCCAAATCTGATTTGAAACTTTATAATTAAGACTAGAAATTAATAAGCAAATTTCAATTTCACTCTTTTATTGCTGATACCTGCAATACTTTTTTTTTAAAAGAAATTATTGTTTTTGTTGGGGCGTTTGTGGAAAAAAAAACGCCAGAATATGATAGGCAAATTCTTGCATATAATTGTTGTGATCAATTATGACGTTCCTTTCATTTATAATTATGAAATCCGCAACTGATGGGAAGGGACCTTCATTTTTTTTAGGATATGTGTATAAACATACGGTAATTGCGTTTATGTGTAAAAATCGATTAATATAGAACAATTTTGCATTAATGGTTCATGTAATGTATGTTTTTTGTATGTATGTACATGTATATGTGTGTATGTATATGTATACTATATACAAGAGACCTATAAGTTACTGGTTTAAAGATCAATTTTGAAAATGTTCATTATGTAACTCCTTAAGAAAATTTCGGCTGGTATTTACCGTATCAATCAAAATTGCTCTTCTCCAAACCTATATTATGTTTATATGAACTGTTCGTTATTGTGCATGTTTTATGTCATCATCGGCTTTAAAGCGTATTGGAATAAAATAGAATGTCTACTGTCTACTACTGTCTACTATAATAAATTGAAAAATATTATATACATTCGTACGATTGCATACTCTTTTTTGTGAAGACTTTTTATCTTTGCTGCATTAAAGGTGTTATGTAAAATGAACAAACATGTCATGAGATAT